TTTTTATTAAGGTCGAGTTATCGGTTTCTAAAGACTATTATTACACTAGGCTTATTGTGTTTCAACATTATTTATTTCCTCATTATGATTGTATTATACATGTACTTATATTTATAAAATAGTTTACATGATCACTATCTGATATATTCAGTGTTAGTATACGTAAGGGTAATGGAAAGATATAAAAAAAATATACCTGCTATAACACTGGTGCTTTTTCTTATTTATAAGAGAGTCCTAGAACAAAGAAGAGGCCACTTGCCTTGGAAACTTGGAATCGCGTTGGAGGACTTCATACATCGTAGAAATATTTTACTGTCATACACGCAGATATTGTTTTCCTTCGTCGCCGTGCACATGAAAAATCATTACTGCAATTAAAATTTAATTGATACGGAATTGAACTCGGCTATCTCGCGTTTTGTGAAATTTGAAGTATGTGTATCCCCTGAACAAAAATGGCTCTACTATAGTATTACCTAATATCTACTTACAATTAAATAGTAAAAAATACTCTCTTTACGTCTATTATTATGTACTTTATTTATTTATTTAGTCACTGATAACATGCATAGGTCGCTATGTATTGGCGGCGTAAGAATATTCACTATCACGTTTTACTAGCCGTGGGTATCGTAATGGACGTCACACACGGTCAGTTCAACTGATCTGTTCAAACTAAAACTGTTGATACTATATAAAATAATGGATTTTCTATATATCGATCATTATAAATATATTAATATCGGAATTTTACATGTAAGTTTATTTGTGGATATATCGAAAATCCGATATTTAAAAAAATATAAACAATTTTAGTTTGATCTGATCAGTCTGAATGATCAGTTTAACTGACCGTGTGTGACCACCATAAGACACGAAAGAGGGCAATGCACAGGAGATGGATAGCCGCATATTTACGAAACTACTGAAAAAAAAAAACTGCGATTGCGAACCAAGCGTAGCAGCTATTGCAAAATTCCTCTTATGAGCCAATTTATTAGGAGAAAACTTAATAGATAGGCTTAATGTCAAGGTTAATGTCAAAACTTAATTCAATTTAGGCTTATTCAAAGCTTTAGTGAACGTCAAACGTCCCTAGTATTGCAGTGGTTCAGGGACGACGGTAGTCACTTACCACCAGGTGAGCCGCACGCTCCTTTACGGCGCCTCTACACGTTGGCCAACACAGTGGCGAATGTAGTGGCCAATAGCATTGGCCAACATGTAGACGGGGTGTTTGGGCTTCATTGGTATGTATTGGAACGATAGCCCGCAAGTTGGCGCGAGATCCGTGTGGTGTCGGTATTTTACAAAAGATCAAAGGATTGTTGGCAGAGTTTGGTCGCCGCGTCCACACGTTGGCCGCGCGTTTAGTTTGCTACAAGCTCCCAGAGTGATTACACGCATCTGATTTAAATTTTATATTCAAGCTTTGTAGGGTGGATGCCCCAATTACCAGCCTTTTAGTGCCAATTTCAACTTTAAACATTCCTACTACTTTAATTAGCGCAATTTAATTATTATTGAACATTTGTTTTAATCAATAAGCTATTTATCAAAAAAAAATTAACGTTTTTTTACAATCAGATTATTACGAGAACAATTTTAAAATGAAAAAAAAATTAAGCACGTCATTTATACGTGGTAGAACCATGCAATTATACTAGAAGTATAGTTGCAGCACGAAGGTCGGCTCGACCGGGGAAGGACCACGCTCTCACAGAATATCAGCGTAAAATAGTAGCTTAATGATGCTGTGTTTCGTATAGTGAGTGTAGAGAACCAGAGACCTTTTTTAAAGGAAACGAGGCATTTCATCTTAGTCCTCACGGGTGACAACGCATCTGCATTTTGATTCGTAATCGAGGATAGATGTAGATGTCTGTGGGCCACAGTAACCACTTACTATCAGGTGAACTGTGTGCTCGTTTGTCACCCTATCCTATAAAAAAACGTCGATTTCTTATAATTTAATCGTGCAAGATTTCGAATCATCATCATCATTACAGCTGTTCACAAGTCCACTACTGAACATCCTCCTCCACAGACTGCCGCAAAGCATGGCCCTGAGCCACTTTGCTCGTCATGAGTTTTTCATTTATGTTCTAAGTTATAATTAGTACCTATTATTAAGTCAAAGTTAATTATATTTATTGCTATTGTTTATGTCTTTCTCAAAAAATAATTAAATTACCAAATAAATTATAAGGTGTTTTTTTATATACATCAAGTGTCTGATAGAAATGCAAGTACATATTTTGCTAAACTTTAAAATCAAAACCCAATTTTAAAACATAGACTAATCGATTATAACTCCTTTAACTTTAAAATAAGTTAAGTTCTTATTAATGTTATTTATTCCAGTTTATGATGCATGTAAAGAATAAATAAAGCTAATCGTATAATATCGTATATCTATTTACAGCCCCATTAATAACCACTATTATTTTATAATTCTTTTATAAAAACGTTAACCCCACACTAGGATTTTCTCCCGTATCGCGCAGGTAGTTTACAAACATAAATTGCACAAGGACACACATCCAGACCCGAAACAATTATTTGTAGGACATACAAATACTTGTTCCGTGCGGGATCAAACCCGCGGCGCCCGGCGCAGCCACTCATAGCTGAGCCACTGCGCCACGGTGCTTATAAATTCGTCCGCACAACCGCACATTGGCCCGAACCGAAGTAAACTGAACGACCTTCCAACGTGTGGACGCCGTCACCAACTCTCGGCCAATATATTCGCCACTCCATTCGCCACTGTGTTGGCCAACGTGTAGAGGCGACATTACACGTGCCCTCTTCTATAAAAAGTGGAAATCTAAAACGGTTCATAAAACATAATTTCAGGGAATAAACGGCAAGAAACGCAGTGGTCTTTTTATGTTAAAAACGAAAGGTGCTTAAAAATTTATATATGTGCATGTTGTTTTAATTATTTAATATTATGTTCTGTTCTTATGTGCAGCTTTTTGATATATATCTACATATTATTTTAAGGTGTATAAGAAATTAATAAAATCATATTACAATTATAAAGTTATGTTTTAGCGCGTTATATCCTTTAGGCCGAATTTCGGACACGGTGGCTAGTATCAAGGAAACTAGACATCTGCTCTGTACAGGATTTAGTGTCCGAGTGTATGCTCAAGCTCAGTTGTACTCTCTATTACTTAATTCTCATAATCCGATAAGACGGTAATTTGACACGACTGGAAGTAGATCAGGCGCAGAATCAACGATTTGCGTGATTTACGAGGCAAGGGTATGAAATACCGTCAACTTATAGACTCCGGGCTGCTACTAAACTTTTTTGACAGAAAAACTCAATAAATCGTTTTGGCCTGATTTTTGAACCTGATTTTAAGAAATCAAATATATTAAAAGAGATATCTTATGTCCACGAAAAAGCCCCGGAGCAACGGGACAGGTACATTTTCGCTCAATTACTTTCTTGTATCTTGAAAACAATACAGGGTCCGGTGAAGCAGTAATAGCCCCCAAGCTAACAACACAAACATCACTGAAACTAGTCGTGACATATTAATAGACCTTTAGTACATACGCATATACAAAAAATATGTCCGAATTGAATTGTACATAAACTCGAACAAACCAATTTTGACTGAAATAATGACCTTAAAATCAAGTAAATGTAACCAAATATAAACTTTAAAGATCACAGAAAAAGTTGCGAATATGTTTAAGAAACACTATTATTTGAAAAATTTTACCTATAGCAAGTATTTGCTTTTATTATAACAGCTGTCTGTGCATATTCATTTTGGCTGTTACATTTAGAAATCGACTTCAATTCAAGAAACACTTAAAATTACTCTCTCTAAAAACAACTAAATTAGATTATCATTCTTATATCTAAAGTTATATTTGTTTATAGAATAAGGGTGACAAATGGGCACACAGTCCTCCTGCGCTGCGTTGTCACCCCTGAGGACTAAGGTGGAATGCCACGTTTTTACCAAAAAGATTCGGGTTCACTTTACTAATTTTATGGTTTCATTTTAACTTTATGACTTGTTTATTTTTTTTGCCTAAATTTAATTATTTTATCAGCATTATGCTGCAATTTTGTTTGAATTGAACGAAAGAGTGGTCTTTTCTCGGTTAAGTACGGATCTAACGCAGTGTATGGATAATTCTGAAAAAGTATACTCACATTTGTCGGAAGGTGAAGTATCTTTCATTAATTAGTATTATGTATAGCGAGCTGTTAAGGTTATCATTCAGGAAAGAAGAACGAGAAGAACAGACATATTTAAGGTTGTATGATTCCTTTTCCTGTGTGTTGTGGGTAGTCTTAAAATATTATATATTAGAAAACCGCCTTTATTAATAAAACAGTTGTCATCTGAACTCTGTGTTTCATTGTCACTACATGGTGAAAATACCTAAATAGTTTTGGATTTTACGTTTGAATAACGTTAATTTGTATTCTAAATTAAGTGTAAAGGATGGAGCATGCAAGACCGCCAACCGAATTGAGTTTAGATGGCAGCCCCGTCGGCCGGGCTGACGCATGGAAACGGTGGAAGGCACAATTCAATCTTTTTCTTAAAGCATTGGGGGTGCACAAAGAAGAGGGAAGCATACAGGCGAGTTTGCTCATTAATCTGATTGGAGCAGATGGATTTGATGTTTATGAGATTTTTACATTCGATTCAGAAGAGCAGCGTGAGGACATCGAAATATTGATGAAAAAATTTGACGAGTATTTCGGTGTTCAATCTAATATAACATTACTGAGATATAATTTTTTTTCGAGGTATCAAGAAACTGGAGAATCTATTGATCAATATGTAACAGCGTTAAAGTTACTCAGTAAAAACTGTGAATTTAAAAATTTAGAGCAAGAGTTGATTCGCGACCGTATTGTGTGCGGCATAAGGAGCACAATTGTAAGGGACCGGTTGTTACGGACAGATGAATTGACTCTGGAGAAAGCAATTAAAATATGTCAAGCTGATGAAATGTCAACAGACAGCAAGCGTGTGATGGAAACAGGTAGCTTCGGCAGTTCGGCGAGCTGCGGGCCCGTGCGCGTTGAGGCGCTGGCGATGCGCGGCGGCGAGCGGCGCGGTGGCGGACGCAGCGGCGGGCGCGGCGGTCGGCGCGGCGCGCGAGTTGCGCACGGCGGGACTGCGACGTTGCCTGGTCCGCGTTGTGGTGCTCAGTGTACTGATGTAGGTTCATGTTCAGCTATTTCGGTGAAATGCTATGTGTGCGGTAACTACGGCCATTACGCTAGGATGTGCAAATGTAAAAATAGTGTTAAAAAAATGTATGAAATAGAAGTGAATACAGAAAAAATCTGATAATGATGATTGTGAGTCGTTTTATGTATCTGTGTTAATGGATAAAACGCAGAACAAAATCGGCGGCGATGACTGGTACGAGGTATTAAGAGGTGAGTGTGGCTTTGAACGTTTTAAGCTGGATACCGGTGCCGACATTAATGTGTTATGTTATAAGAGATTTTTAACGCTGGGGTTTGACACGGAAATGATATGCAATAATAATAAAATGAAATTACAGTCGTTTAGCGGGGATGTTATTCCGATAAGAGGAGTTTGTCATCTTAAATGGTGGAATAAAAGTAAAATGTATGTTTTAAAATTTGCAATAGCAAATATTAATTGTTAAAGTGTACTGGGTCGACAAGCGTGTTCGGAACTAGGGTTAATTCAACGGGTTTACGGCATTAATTTGGTAGAAAATTCGGATCTTTTTGAAGGCTTAGGATGCTTACCTGGTGAGTACCATATAGTTATTGATAAATCAGTTAAACCTGTAGTTTGTGCTCCGCGAAAAGTACCTCTAGGATTACGTGATAAATTATTAGAAGAATTAAACAGGATGACTGACTTAGGAGTCATTAGAAAGATCACTCACCCAACACAATGGGTTAATTCAATAGTAATTGCAGCAAAAAAGAACGGAACATTGCGAATTTGCTTAGACCCGAGACCTCTTAATAATGCTATACAGCGTGCACATTTCCAACTGCCAACCATCAAGGAACTTGCCACTAAAATTCACGGAGCTAGTTTTTTTTTAATATTAGACGCAAATTCAGGTTTTTGGACAGTAAAACTTGATGATCAGAGTTTAGACTTATGCACCTTTAGTACACCGTTTGGGCGCTATCAGTATTTAAGATTACCTTATGGGTTAAACTGCGCTTCAGAGGTGTTTCATGAGATTAAGCAATTAATAGAGGATTTAGATGGAGTAGATTCTTTTATAGACGATATAATATGCTGGGGACGAAATAAAGACGAACATGATAGGCGTTTAAATGCATTATTAAATAGGGCTCGTGAAATTAATTTAAAATTTAATAAAGATAAATGTCGTATTTGCGTTGAGGAAGTGACTTACTTGGGTCATATATTTAACAAAAACGGGATGAAACCAGATTTAGAAAAAGTAAAAGCAATAAAAAATATGCCAACTCCAAAAGAACGAAAATCATTAGAACGATTTTTAGGAGCCGTAAATTATTTATCTAAGTTTATACCTAAGTATTCTGAGCGTATTTATCCGCTTACTCGATTATTGAAAAAGGACACAGAATGGTGTTGGGAGAGTGAACAACAGAATGCGTTTGATTTATTAAAAGATTTAATAAGCAAATCACTCATGTTGGCTTTATATGACGTATCGCAACCGGCTGTAGTTTCGGTGGACGCGAGCAGTGTAGCGCTAGGAGCCGTGCTGTTGCAGGGCGGCCGACCTATTGAATATACTTCACGTACACTCACCGACACACAGACACGATATGCGCAGATAGAAAAAGAAATGCTAGCTATTCTCTTTGGTTCCACCAATATATTTACGCTAAAAGTGATGTTTTAATTGAAACAGATCATAAACCGTTAGAAAGCATTTTTAAAAAGCCCTTAGATTCGATACCAGCACGCTTACAGCGAATGATTTTACGATTACAATGTTATGATTTGATAGTTACATATAAGCCTGGAAAATATATGTACTTGGCCGATACATTATCACGTGCTCCTATTCCAGAACTATATAATGATAAAGTGAGTGATAATGTATTATGTCAAGTACATATGGTAGTTTCTAACATGCCCGTTTCACATAAAAAATTAAGTGTAATTAAAAATGAGACTTTGAAAGATAATAACTTAAAACTTTTAATGAGATATATAAATCAGGGTTGGCCGGAATATAAACGAGATATTGAAGATAATTTAAAATATTATTGGTCTATGAGAGGAGATTTATTTTGTGTAGATGGCGTTATATTTAAAAACAAACAAATATAATAAAATATAATAATGTAAAAGGCGCGCACGTGAAGTGCTATTCTGGCCAGGGATTTCTTATGATATAGAGAGATATGTAAATAGGTGTGTAGTGTGTCGAGAGAATTCAAATAACTCGAGTAAGGAACCGATGATTTCTGTTTCTATTCCAAATTTACCATGGAGTAAAATCGGGACGGACATATTTCAGTATGGTAAAAAATCATATCTGATTATTGTGGACTATTATTCATGTTTTACGGAAGTAGCATTTTTACATGAAACTACTTCTAAAAGCGTCATAAACGTACTGAGAGAAAATTTTGCTAGATATGGGATACCAGACATTGCAATAAGCGATAACGGTCCACAATTTTCAAGTTGGGAATATAAAAACTTTGCGGTGGAGTGGGGATTTGAACACATAACGTCATCACCCAATTACGCACAATCAAATGGTAAGAGTGAAAGAGCCGTGCAAACATAAAAAAGATATTAAAAAAAATCCATAGATAGTGGAAGTGACTTTTATTTAAATTTGCTAAGTTATCGAAATACGCCTCGCGATAATTTGAATTCTCCCGCGCAGCTGCTGATGGGTCGTAGGTTAAAATGCAGGCTACCAGTGCACCCAGACCTTTTAAAAATAGGACATGTAAATAATGAGAGTCAACACAAAGTTATGCTAGATAAACAAAATAAATACAAAATGTATTATGATTTACGTGCCAAGCCTTTACCTGTATTGGATGTCGGCAATAAGGTGACTATGATAGAAAAAAAATAATTCTAAAATTCCAGTACATATCATTGCAAAAGCGGCGACTCCCCGCTCATATTTTATTAAAACTAAAAGAGGAATGGTGTATCGCCGCAATCGCAGACATCTAATAAAAAGATAAAACACAAGAAAATAGAACGTCAGTACAAATAGTACATGAGAATAAAGAACATAATTTAATGACAACAAAAACTACTTTTACGAGTAGTGAAAATGAGGAATATTCTTCGAACGATGAATATGAACCGACAATGTTAAATATTGAAGTTAATGAAAATTATTCTCCGCCTCTCACTCGAAGTAAAGTAAATAAAAACAAAAAATAACCGGTTTAATTAATCCTTTGTAATCACAAAAAAAAAGGTTAAGGTTATGGTAAAAAAAAATGTACTAAAGTACGTTTTTTATTCATGTCTTTCTTGGTAAGATTATTTAAAAATAAATCACTTTTGTTAAAAACTTATTCTTTAAGGGGAAGGTGTTGTGGGTAGTCTTAAAATATTATATATTAGAAAACCGCCTTTATTAATAAAACAGTTGTCATCTGAACTCTGTGTTTCATTGTCACTACACTGTGTAGGTTTTAATCTGAGTAGGTACTTACCACCCTTTTACCCATATATGCCATCTAATAGCACTGCAGGAACTGTTGTGTTCCGGTCTGAAGGGTTATAGTATATATAATTACAGGCTGTAAGGCACTCCATCTTAGATTTCAATTTGACAACGCATCTGAAGCCTTCTTTGTTTGTAACTAGCTGCAGGTGTCCATGGACAACAGTAGCCGCTTATCAACACGCGGATTTTTAATTCGTTTGTTACTTCAGTTGTGTGATAGTAAAAAAATGTCTCATAGTGTCAAAGTTAAAATAAAAATAAAATAGTTATATTAGTTTTGATTGAAGTAAATAAAATTTAATTGCAATTTCGAACTCAAATATTGAGTCAAATATTTTAAACTCAATAAAAGTATCGAGTAATTTGTTTGAAATAACAGCTTGTTCAACAGATTTTTTTATTCAGATAATTTCATTGTTACAATTTCAGTTTTTCAAAAAATTTTAAACATGAATTAATTTATTATTATTTATATTTAACTACTAAAATAGTATGGCCTTGGCATAAGTAGATTGTTGTCTAAAAATTTTAGATAACAACAACTGACAGGGTTGGTAAAAAAAAAAACATCGTGCGAAGCTTGCATCTCTGAGAAATGAAAATAATTTGATATATTAGGCAATTCATCAATTGATACAAGGCGATGTACGTTTTTCTGTTTAATTTTCCTCTGGAATGAAATGATTTTGTAATCTTTATTAATACAATATCTGATCTTTCAAATAAATTATGCAATGTTTTTTAAGACATGCATTTGGAGTCAATATTGACTTAAAAATCACAATGCCAAAGTTTGTACGACATGCTTTAGTCTGGATTAAATTTTGACATTGTTAAGTTTGAGTCTAAACAGGAGATTATGACAAAAATCTTTTATTGATACTCATTAAAAAAAACCTTGCCCTCACTCAAGGAGTATCCTCCTGTATCATAGATACGTTAAATTAAAAAATTATATATTGTATATAAACAAACACCAATCTTAAGAATCATTTAAATGCTTACGGGAATAGAACCTACGTCTTCTAGAATTGCAGCCATTGCGCTGTCAGCTGCTGTTGATATAAAGATTCACAGACCATCATTTTACGTCCATTTTACAAACAAATTATTAACGTCTTGCACATATATGAGGGTTTGGGCTATCCTAGAGGTAGTAGAGGTAGAATGATGTTGAGTTGAGATGGATTAATAAGAGTGCTTTTTGAGGTTCCTTTATTTGTATTTTATATTTGTGTATTAAATACAAAAAATCACTTCAATTATATTAAATCCTGAGAGGCGAAAAAATTGGAAATAGAAATCAAGCTCTGTGGACGTGCTGATTAACGAACGGTATAATTTTTCCTTTTATATGGTAACCGACAAGTAACCATAAAATTTTAAAAACAAAACTCTATTGAAATACATTATGGAACAGTACTCTGAAAGTAATAAATTACATGCACAAATAAAAAATACGTAATTATTTGGAAAGTTACCATACCATATATAGAAAAATATTAATTAAAAATTTTTTTGTTTGTAACGTAAGCTCAAAGTTATTACTTACATATTATAGGGATATCGATAGGTAAAAGACCTTCGAAATCAATTTAATATAGAAACAAATCAAATGGCGTTCCCAGCAATTGTTTTGAAAAAC